ACTCAGGCTGCTGGTAGGAGGGCTGAGTCCCTGGCACCTCGGGGGGAACGGTGATCAAATATCGTATCGGGACTGGGGCAGGTGGCTGAATGGGCTGGGCCAAGATCCTGGGAGGGGATGCAACCCTAGGGGGCGAGTTCATCCTGGGCGGGGACCTGATCCGGATGCGGGACTGGCCGGCTGTGTTGGGTGGGAGACGGTATCTGTGGGCCGGGGCACTGGAGGTCACAAGGGTGGCGGGCTTCGTCAAGGCGGCGGGGAGGGGCTGTCATAGGGGGATCAGAGATCTCAATTCCCTGTGACAGCACCCGTTCCTCCTTCTTCTTCTGTCTTCTGTTGTCCCTGTTAAGTATAAAAGATACTATAAGAACACATACACTTTAAAATCATAGATAAATATGCCAATATTATGCAGTTTAAATAGGGATATTTACCAGAGTATCAGAGTTGTCTGGTTGAGGGGCAGCAGTTGAATGCTGGTCAACGCAGACACTCTGGGGTCCTCTGTCACCACCTCCCTGATCCTGTTGTAGGAAGTCAGGATGAGGCTCCATCTGGACAGGGTCTGTTGGTTGACTCGCTTGACTGGGCCGGTGTGAACCTCCATCAGCCTCCTCACCAGCATCTCCATGTACCGTTTGGTATCTGGATAGCTGGCTGGCCCACTTCCTGTTCCCACGAAGGACCTGAAGAGTAGAATGAGACAATTCAAATACTGTACAATAAGACAAATAAACATAAGAGCACAGATAAATAAATACCTAAACACTTACCGCTTAGTCTTCTCAACACCGGCTTTGGGGGGGTGATCTGGCCGTCTTTGAAGACATAAACCTTCCTTTGGGTGGAGAAGACTTGGGTCTGGCCTGGAAAACAGCTGGCCTCTGGTCCCGGGGCTCCAGCTTCTCCCACAAGGAGATCAGCTGATCCTGCTGGGTCCGGGTCAAGGTCCTGCACTCCCTGAGCTGCAACAAAAAGTCAGCCAGGTCGTGCACCTGCCGCATACCAGACGTGGGATCCGGCATCTGTTCCTCTTCCTGCAAGAAAGTAAAAAAAGTCAGACTATACTAATGTTTACTTAACAATAAGAAGCAATAGATAGAGAATGGGTTCTACTTACTGTCTCGTCTTCCTGGGCTGGTGGGTCCTGGGTCGGAGGATGGTACGCAATCTTCTCTGTTTCCTTCCAATTTCAAGCGCACAGAAAGAAGGGGGGATGAAGGGAAAAAGGGAGAAAAGGAGAGAATGGAAGGGAATTTCGGGTCGCCGCTAGGGGCGCTCAATAAAGATAATTAATGCGGGTTTTTCTGCCTAATTAGAAAGTTTAGAGTGCATTATTAAATATATTAGAGAGATTTAAATAGCGGATTTTTAGGGATTTTTAAAATTGTTTTTACGGGTATATATTTATGGATTTTTGGTCTTTTAGGGTCTCCATATTTATTTTCCTGGTACTTTTGAGCATTATTTCCTCTTTTTGGAATAAATATCTGTCTGTTTTAATATTTTACAGCTTATTTAAGCTGCAATTTAGTACTTCAATTAGGGCTTTATTTCAGCCCCTTTAAGGAGTTTCCCCATATTTTTTTGACTTTTATTGATTGTTTTCAAGTCAATTTTGGCATATTTTGCCTTGATTTACACCAAATAATTTTTTTAAACAATTTAAACAGCCTATTTTTAGCTGTTATTTTCTACTTCATTAGGGCTTTATTACAGCCTCCTTTATTTTAAATTTTTAGGCTTATATGGCCTTTATTTACTGCAAATTAGACCTTTTCTCAATTTTAATCAAGTATAATCCTTGCAAATTGTGTCATTTCTATACATTCCTGTGGTGTAATGGTAACACACTTGCCTAATTTACTGGCAAGAGATCTGGGTTCGAATCCCGGTGGGTTTTTAACTTTTGACACATGCTGCAAGTGATTTTCTCTATAAATTTTAAAGAATAAGACATGAATTTTTTAAATAATAATTTTATTAACTTTCCCTCTGCTTTTTACAAGGGCTTGGGACCTTCTAGCTACAAAATACAAAGTAAAATATACAAAATACAAAGTAAATCATAACTAGGCAGCATTAAAGAGTTTTTTTTTGGTATTTTTCAGTTTTTTTTAATTTTTTTTTTGTTTTTTTAAGTTTTTTAAATTTTTTTTGGTTTTTTCACATTTTGTTATCGGTTCAAGGTGGATCCTGGTCCTCTGGCGGGGGTTCCTGGTCGTCTGGTGGGGCATCTGGTGGGGGTTTCTTCCTCTTCCTGTTGGAGTAGCCTCGTTGTACCATCCTTTGCACCCAGTCCGCGTAGCTCTCCTCCGAGGTGGCCTGGCAGTACCAGTTGCCAAAGTACTGGCGGTGCCTAGGTGCAGTCTTTGGTTCCTTACACTTACTGCACCTATTCGGTCCACGGCGTGGGGCGTACTTGTTAACGTACTCTCCCATCTCCTCCTTCTTGTCGACCTTGCGTCTGTAACAGGCCGTGGAACCGGGCACGCGCTTTGGCAACTTCTGGGGTGGGAACTCAGGCTGCTGGTAGGAGGGCTGAGTCCCTGGCACCTCGGGGGGAACGGTGATCAAATATCGTATCGGGACTGGGGCAGGTGGCTGAATGGGCTGGGCCAAGATCCTGGGAGGGGATGCAACCCTAGGGGGCGAGTTCATCCTGGGCGGGGACCTGATCCGGATGCGGGACTGGCCGGCTGTGTTGGGTGGGAGACGGTATCTGTGGGCCGGGGCACTGGAGGTCACAAGGGTGGCGGGCTTCGTCAAGGCGGCGGGGAGGGGCTGTCATAGGGGGATCAGAGATCTCAATTCCCTGTGACAGCACCCGTTCCTCCTTCTTCTTCTGTCTTCTGTTGTCCCTGTTAAGTATAAAAGATACTATAAGAACACATACACTTTAAAATCATAGATAAATATGCCAATATTATGCAGTTTAAATAGGGATATTTACCAGAGTATCAGAGTTGTCTGGTTGAGGGGCAGCAGTTGAATGCTGGTCAACGCAGACACTCTGGGGTCCTCTGTCACCACCTCCCTGATCCTGTTGTAGGAAGTCAGGATGAGGCTCCATCTGGACAGGGTCTGTTGGTTGGCTCGCTTGACTGGGCCGGTGTGAACCTCCATCAGCCTCCTCACCAGCATCTCCATGTACCGTTTGGTATCTGGATAGCTGGCTGGCCCACTTCCTGTTCCCACGAAGGACCTGAAGAGTAGAATGAGACAATTCAAATACTGTACAATAAGACAAATAAACATAAGAGCACAGATAAATAAATACCTAAACACTTACCGCTTAGTCTTCTCAACACCGGCTTTGGGGGGGGTGATCTGGCCGTCTTTGAAGACATAAACCTTCCTTTGGGTGGAGAAGACTTGGGTCTGGCCTGGAAAACAGCTGGCCTCTGGTCCCGGGGCTCCAGCTTCTCCCACAAGGAGATCAGCTGATCCTGCTGGGTCCGGGTCAAGGTCCTGCACTCCCTGAGCTGCAACAAAAAGTCAGCCAGGGCGTGCACCTGCCGCATACCAGACGTGGGATCCGGCATCTGTTCCTCTTCCTGCAAGAAAGTAAAAAAAGTCAGACTATACTAATGTTTACTTAACAATAAGAAGCAATAGATAGAGAATGGGTTCTACTTACTGTCTCGTCTTCCTGGGCTGGTGGGTCCTGGGTCGGAGGATGGTACGCAATCTTCTCTGTTTCCTTCCAATTTCAAGCGCACAGAAAGAAGGGGGGATGAAGGGAAAAAGGGAGAAAAGGAGAGAATGGAAGGGAATTTCGGGTCGCCGCTAGGGGCGCTCAATAAAGATAATTAATGCGGGTTTTTCTGCCTAATTAGAAAGTTTAGAGTGCATTATTAAATATATTAGAGAGATTTAAATAGCGGATTTTTAGGGATTTTTAAAATTGTTTTTACGGGTATATATTTATGGATTTTTGGTCTTTTAGGGTCTCCATATTTATTTTCCTGGTACTTTTGAGCATTATTTCCTCTTTTTGGAATAAATATCTGTCTGTTTTAATATTTTACAGCTTATTTAAGCTGCAATTTAGTACTTCAATTAGGGCTTTATTTCAGCCCCTTTAAGGAGTTTCCCCATATTTTTTTGACTTTTATTGATTGTTTTCAAGTCAATTTTGGCATATTTTGCCTTGATTTACACCAAATAATTTTTTTAAACAATTTAAACAGCCTATTTTTAGCTGTTATTTTCTACTTCATTGGGGCTTTATTTCAGCCTCCTTTATTTTGAATTTTTAGGCTTATATGGCCTTTATTTACTGCAAATTAGACCTTTTCTCAATTTTAATCAAGTATAATCCTTGCAAATTGTGTCATTTCTATACATTCCTGTGGTGTAATGGTAACACACTTGCCTAATTTACTGGCAAGAGATCTGGGTTCGAATCCCAGTGGGTTTTTAACTTTTGACACATGCTGCAAGTGATTTTCTCTATAAATTTTAAAGAATAAGACATGAATTTTTTTAATAATAATTTTATTAACTTTCCCTCTGCTTTTTACAAGGGCTTGGGACCTTCTAGCTACAAAATACAAAGTAAAATATACAAAATACAAAGTAAATCATAACTAGGCAGCATTAAAGAGTTTTTTTTTGGTATTTTTCAGTTTTTTTAAATTTTTTTTTTGTTTTTTTAAGTTTTTTAAATTTTTTTTGGTTTTTTCACATTTTGTTATCGGTTCAAGGTGGATCCTGGTCCTCTGGCGGGGGTTCCTGGTCGTCTGGTGGGGCATCTGGTGGGGGTTTCTTCCTCTTCCTGTTGGAGTAGCCTCGTTGTACCATCCTTTGCACCCAGTCCGCGTAGCTCTCCTCCGAGGTGGCCTGGCAGTACCAGTTGCCAAAGTACTGGCGGTGCCTAGGTGCAGTCTTTGGTTCCTTACACTTACTGCACCTATTCGGTCCACGGCGTGGGGCGTACTTGTTAACGTACTCTCCCATCTCCTCCTTCTTGTCGACCTTGCGTCTGTAACAGGCCGTGGAACCGGGCACGCGCTTTGGCAACTTCTGGGGTGGGAACTCAGGCTGCTGGTAGGAGGGCTGAGTCCCTGGCACCTCGGGGGGAACGGTGATCAAATATCGTATCGGGACTGGGGCAGGTGGCTGAATGGGCTGGGCCAAGATCCTGGGAGGGGATGCAACCCTAGGGGGCGAGTTCATCCTGGGCGGGGACCTGATCCGGATGCGGGACTGGCCGGCTGTGTTGGGTGGGAGACGGTATCTGTGGGCCGGGGCACTGGAGGTCACAAGGGTGGCGGGCTTCGTCAAGGCGGCGGGGAGGGGCTGTCATAGGGGGATCAGAGATCTCAATTCCCTGTGACAGCACCCGTTCCTCCTTCTTCTTCTGTCTTCTGTTGTCCCTGTTAAGTATAAAAGATACTATAAGAACACATACACTTTAAAATCATAGATAAATATGCCAATATTATGCAGTTTAAATAGGGATATTTACCAGAGTATCAGAGTTGTCTGGTTGAGGGGCAGCAGTTGAATGCTGGTCAACGCAGACACTCTGGGGTCCTCTGTCACCACCTCCCTGATCCTGTTGTAGGAAGTCAGGATGAGGCTCCATCTGGACAGGGTCTGTTGGTTGGCTCGCTTGACTGGGCCGGTGTGAACCTCCATCAGCCTCCTCACCAGCATCTCCATGTACCGTTTGGTATCTGGATAGCTGGCTGGCCCACTTCCTGTTCCCACGAAGGACCTGAAGAGTAGAATGAGACAATTCAAATACTGTACAATAAGACAAATAAACATAAGAGCACAGATAAATAAATACCTAAACACTTACCGCTTAGTCTTCTCAACACCGGCTTTGGGGGGTGATATGGCCGTCTTTGAAGACATAAACCTTCCTTTGGGTGGAGAAGACTTGGGTCTGGCCTGGAAAACAGCTGGCCTCTGGTCCCGGGGCTCCAGCTTCTCCCACAAGGAGATCAGCTGATCCTGCTGGGTCCGGGTCAAGGTCCTGCACTCCCTGAGCTGCAACAAAAAGTCAGCCAGGTCGTGCACCTGCCGCATACCAGACGTGGGATCCGACATCTGTTCCTCTTCCTGCAAGAAAGTAAAAAAAGTCAGACTATACTAATGTTTACTTAACAATAAGAAGCAATAGATAGAGAATGGGTTCTACTTACTGTCTCGTCTTCCTGGGCTGGTGGGTCCTGGGTCGGTGGGTCCTGGGCTGGTGGATCCTGGGTGGGCGGCGGGGTCTCCAGGGTGACAGCGGGTGTCGGCCTCTCTGTAGACCCTTCGGCACGGGCCGGTGACCTGACAGCACTGCGTTGCCTGACAACCCTAGGGCTGGATGGGGGCCTTGCAGTGCTGGATGGTGGTCGGTCGGCGCTGGCCAAGGGCTTCCCGGTCGGCCTCACAGCTACACCCTGGACGTCGAGATCGGGTAGTGTGGGGTCGTCCTCTGCCTCTTCCTCCTCAAATCCCTCGTCGTGGTCCTGGTCCTCCTCCTCTGGTGTGGGGTCCTCCTCTCGCACTTCCTCGGGAACGACCTGAAGTGACTTGCCTGTCTGGGAGTACAAGTACTCAACTCCGATCAGCTCCCCCGTGTAGGCCCTGGGCTGATGGAAGGCGGGGTCTAAAGGGTTCCCCAAGACAGTCTGTGCCAAGTGGTTGACAGTGTGGCGTAGAAGTCCGCTGTACCTGTGACACAGCGGAGCCTCCACTTCCACGGCGTGAGAAGCCCTGTCCTGGTTCCACCTGTAGAGTCCCTCCAGGAGAAACGCCTGATAGTTAACGTCGCTAGCACTGGTACCTGTAAAATACGAGTAAATATAAGTGGCATTCAACAAACTTTTGACTGAGTACTACTATAAGACTTTGACAAAAGACAGTAGACTTACCGGGAATGAACCTGTTCAGGTGCAGGTGGAAGGATTCCAGGGAGGTGGAACCTCTGGCACAGCGGTACGTGGGCAGGGTCTTGGTGCCCTTCCTCAGGGTCCCTGTCTGGGTGTACAGGGAGACGTTGGGTGGGTCCTGTATGCATCCCACGTGCCGCATCTGACTGTCCCACACATCCCTGGCCTTGTCCTCGTCTAGGAGTGGCGTCCCCAGCATGTCTCGGCCCTGCTCCCCGGAGAAGACGTCGATCAGCTCCTCGATCCTCTGACTTATCTCGACGGGGGTCCTGGTTGTTCGTCTGCAGTGCAGGCCGAGCTCCTTCTTGGACAGCCAGTCCTGTTCCTTCCCCCGAACAGTCACTCCCGCGCTGTAGGCCTGTGTCTCCTTCGCTTCCTTCAGGGCTGTAAGGTCCTCCTCACTCCACTGGAAAATGCAGCCGGACAGTCGTCTCATGAACAAGGGGTAGAGGGCGTGGGACTCGGTGGTGCAGGCGCTGGAGATGCGACGCATGAAATCCCAGATGTCCAATCTGACCTACAAAGTAGAAAACATAGAATTTTGAGACCAAAGTAAAACAATAAAAATAAAATAAATTACACATCTCCTTAGATATCACATACCTGAGTCACAAGCGCAAGGATGACACGCAAATTCGTGAAGCGTTCCATATTTTTCTTTTTCTAATTTTTCCACTGAAATTTAAAAAAAAATACATATTTTTAAAAGTGGGACAAACACAGCTCTCTGATTGGTCTAGAAAGTGGAACTTCACCACGAAGATTGCTCAGCTAGTAGCGCAAAGGATGGTACGCAATCTTCGTGGTTTTCTTCCAATTTCAGAAGGGGGGATGAAGAGAAAAAAAGGGAGGTAAGGAAAGAAAGGAAGGGAATTTCGATTCGCCGCTTGGGGCGCTCATTAAAAACAATTAATGCGGGTTTTTCTGCCTTTTTACAAAGTTCAGAGTGCATTATCAAATATTATACAGAGATTTAAATAGCGGATTTTTAGGGATTTTTTAAATTGTTATTACGGGTATATATTTATGGATTTTTGGTCTTTTTGGATCTCCATATTTATTTCCCTGGTACTTTTGAGCATTATTTCCTCTTTTTGAAAAAAATATGTCTGTTTTAATATTTTACAGCCCATTTTAGCTGCAATTTACTACTTCATTTAGGGCTTTATTTCAGCCCCTTTAGGGTTTTTCCCCATATTATTTTGACTTTTATGGTTTGTTTTCAAGTCAATTTAGGCTTATTTTGCCTTGATTTACCCCAAATAATTTTTTGAAATAATTTAAACAGCCTATTTTTAGCTGCTATTTACTACTTCATTAGGGCTTTATTTCAGCCTCCTTTATTTTGAATTTTAAGGCTTATATTGCCTTTATTTACTGCAGATTAGACATCTTCTCATTTTTAATCAGATATAATCCTTGCAAATTGTGTCATTTCCAACATTCCTGTGGTGTAATGGTAACACACTTGCCTAATTTACTGGCAAGAGATCTGGGTTCGAATCCCAGTGGGTTTTTAACATTTGACACATGCTGCAAGTGATTTTCTCTATAAATTTTAAAGAATAAGACATGAATTCTTTTTTAAATGATTTTATTTACTTTCCCTCTGCTTTTTACAAGGGCTTGGGACCTTCTAGCTAAAAAGTACAAAGTAAATTGGCATATATACAAAATACAAATTAAAATTATAACTAGGCAGCATTAAAAGATTTTTTTTGGTATTTTTTCAGTTTTTAAATTTTTTTTTTTGTTTTTTTTTAAAGTTTTTTTTTTTTTTTTTTTAGTTTTTTCATATTTTGGGTTCGGTTCAAGGTGGATCCTGGTCATCTGGTGGGGGTTCATCTGGTGTGGGTTCATCTGGTGGGGGTTTCTTCCTCTTCCTGTTGGAATAGCCTCTCTGTACCATCCTATGGACCCAGTCCTCGTAGCTCTCCTCCGAGGTGGCCTGGCAGTACCAGTTGCCATAGTACTGACGGTGCCCAGGTGCGGTCTTCTGTTGGTTGCACTTACCGCACCTATTCGGTCCACGGCGTGGGGAGTACCTGTGGACGTACTCTCCCATCACCTCGTTCATGTTGACTTTGCGTCTGTAAGAGGCCGTGGAGTCAGGCACCGTCTTTGGCAACTTCAGGGGTTGGAACTCAGGCTGCTGGTAGGTAGGCTGAGTCCTTGGCACCTGGGGGGCAAGGTGATCAAGTATCGTACTGGGACTGGGGCAGGTGGCAGAACTGGCTGGGCCAAGATCCTGGCAGTGGATGCAATCCTAGGGGGCGAGTTCATCCTGGGCGGGGACCTGATCCGGACGCGAGACTGGCCGGCTGTGTTGGGTGGGAGACGGTATCTGTGGGCCGGGGCATTGGAGGTCACAAGGGTGGCGGGCTTCGTCAGGGCTGCGGGTAGGGGCTGAGGGGCTGTCATAGGAGGATCAGAGATCTCAATTCCCTGTGACAGCACCCGTTCCTCCCTCTTCTTCTGTCTTCTGTTGTCCCTGTTAAGTAAAAAGAATACATACACTTAAAAATCATAGATAAATATGCCATTATTATACTGTTTAAATAGGTATATTTACCAGAGTATCAGAGTTGTCTGGTTGAGGGGCAGCAGTTGAATGCTGGTCAATGCTGACACTCTGGGGTCCTCTGTCACAACCTCCCTGATCCAGTTGTAGGAAGTCAGGATGAGGCTCCATCTGGACAGGGTCTGTTGGTTGGGTCGCCTGACTGGGCCAGTGTGCACCTCCATCAGCCTCCTCACCAGCATCTCCATGTACCGGTTGGTATCTGGATAGCTGGCTGGCCCACTTCCTGTTCCCACAAAGGACCTGAAGAGAAGAGTAAGACAATTCAAATACTGTACAATAAGACAAATAAACATAAGAGCACAGATAAATAGCTATACACATACCGCTTAGTCTTCTCCACACCGGCTTTGGTAGGTGATTTGGCTGTCTTTGAGGACATAAACCTTCCTTTGGGTGGAGAAGACTTGGTCCTGGCCTGGAAAACAGCTGGCCTCTGGTCCCAGGGCTCTAGCTTCTCCCACAAGGAGATCAGCCGATCCTGCTGGGTCCGGGTCAAGGTCCTGCATTCCCTGAGCTGCAACAGGAAGTCAGCCAGGTCGTGCACCTGCCGCATACCAGACGCTGGATCCGGCAGCTGTTCCTCTTCCTGCAAAGTAAAAAGGTCAGTCTATACTAATGTTTACTTAAACACTAAGAAGCAATAGATAGAAATTGGTTCTACTTACTGTCTCCTCTTCCTGGGCTAGTGGGTCCTGGGTCGGTGGGTCCGTCGTCGTGGTCCTGGTCCTCTTCCTCGGGTGTGGCGTCCTCCTCTCGCACTTCCTCAGGAACGACCTGAAGTGACTTGCCGGTCTGGGAGTACAAGTACTCGACTCCGATCAGCTCCCCCGTGTAGGCCCTGGGTTGATGGAAGGCGGGGTCTAAAGGGTTCCCCAAGACAGTCTGTGACACAGCGGAGCCTCCACTTCCACGGCGTGAGAAGCCCTGTCCTGGTTCCATCTGTAGAGCCCCTCCAAGAGAAACGCCTGGTAGTTGACGTCGCTAGCACTGGTACCTGTGAAATACAAGTAAATATAAGTGGCATTCAACAAACTCGTGACTAGATACTAAGACTTTGACAATAGACAGTAGACCTACCGGGAATGAACCTGTTCAGGTGCAGGTGGAAGGATTCCAGGGAGGTGGAACCTCTGGCACAGCGGTACGTGGGCAGGGTCTTGGTGCCCTTCCTCAGGGTCCCTGTCTGGGTGTACAGGGAGACGTTGGGTGGGTCCTATATGCATCCCACGTGCCCCTTCTGACTGTCCCACACATCCCTGGCCTTGTCCTCGTCTAGGAGTGGCGTCCCCAGCATGTCTCGGCCCTGCTCCCCGGAGAAGACGTCGAACAGCTCCTCGATCCTCTGACTTATCTCGACGGGGGTCCTGGTGGTCCTTCTGCAGTGCAGGCCGAGCTCCTTCTTGGACAACCAGTCCTGTTCCTTCCCCCGAACAGTCACTCCCGCGCTGTTGGCCTGGGTCTCCTTGGCCTCCTTCAGGGCTGTAAGGTCCTCCTCACTCCACTGGAAGATGCAGCCGGACAGTTGTCCCATGAACAAGGGGTAGAGGGCATGGGACTAGGTAGTGCAGGTGCTTGAGATGCGACGCATGAAATGCCAGATGTCCAGTCTGACCTACAAAGTAGAAAACATAGAATTTTGAGACCAAAGTAAAACAATAAAAATAAAATAAATTATACATCTCCTTAGATATCACATACCTGGGTCGCACTCCAGGACGGGAACTTCTTCCCCACATAATTGGGGCCACAGCAGTCCCTGTCCACATACACCACCTCGGGCGGGTTCACGCTGGCTTCCCTGTACCTCCTCTGGATTCCCTCGAACATGGCGTCCAGTCCAGCTCCCTCTCCGGCGGTGATGACGGAGATGAGCACCTGGCCGTGCTCATTTCCCACGTTGGTGGCCCACGCGGCTGTCTCGGACGCGGCTCCCTGGAGCTTCCTCACCACCTTCTTGGTCGAGTCGATCTTCAGGATGTGGCCGTAGACTGAGGTGATGCCAGCTTTGACTTCATCCAGTCTCGACAGCACGTCTTGGCAGTAGACCGAGTCAGGCACTGGCAGGAGGGCATCTTGATGGGCGTGGGCGGGGAGGGGAAAACCGTCTTCATCGTCAGTCCCTTCTTCTGGGCGGAGCTGAAGGTCTGGCAGTCGCTCAGGTAGTGCGCCGTCCTCTTGAGGTACTCCTCTCTGTGCAGTTCCGCGAGGTTCTGACGGAGTCTGGCAACACTGTTCCAGAGTCCACGCTGTCTCAGCATCTTCACCACTTCCAGGTCGCAGGCCATCTTTCTGGTGAAGATGCACGGAAACTGGAGGCGGTGCCCCACGTCGAGCTGGTCAAGCAAGTCCTGGTTCCAACTGCTGAGATTTTTCTTGCTTTTCGGGCTTTACAGGTACTCCGTGGCCATGTAGTAGAACCCTGAGAGACTCAGGACTCTGCGGAGCGTCCTGTAAATGCCCGAGGAGATCAACTCCTGCCCAACGCAGTCTTCCCCAGGACACGTCAACCTAACTCTCCACAGCTTCTTTGGCATCCAAAGAAAGATGGGCCTAGCAAAGTACCTACAAAAACAGAGAAAATTTAGTACCAAAAATAATCTTTATTCTAATACAAAATAGATATTAAATAATTAAAATGAAGTACATGTTCCCTAAGAATAATGCATACCTGTCAATGGTGGGAGGCTGGGCATACACTAGGGCTGGCTTGGGGGGGGGGGGTGGTACCACATCCGGTCTATGGTGTCGAAGCACATCTCCAGCTTTCCCTGCTGGTTGACACAGAAGAGGGCCTTGGAGATCCACTTCAGGTCACATGGGTCCAGCACCTGTTTCCAGGCACTGTACACCACATCTACAACTTCGTATGACAAAATAAGCAAAATGCAAATAATAAAAAACAATACACAGAATTTCAGAGTTCATTTCCTTATTTTACATCTATAACATTCTATATGATATTAAATAATTTTTGTTTATATCTTAGTAAATTTATATCAGTAAATATTAAAATGTTATCTATTACTTTATTGGCTAAATGAATGTATTATATGTTATGAAAGCTAGATACTGAGTAGATAATGAGAAAGCACAGAAACAGACACCAATATATATTAAAGAAAAAAATATAAGCTAGAGATAGATATATATTAATTTGTGTTTGTATATATATATACATGTATATATAAGCTACATAGTGCTAAACTATACACCATCATCTACACAAACTCACCACTGGAACTAAACAAAAAGAAAATAGCTGTGAAACAAATAAGAAATGACTTTGGACATGATGCCAGATGTCAAGTCTGACCTATAAAGTAGAAAACACAGAACTTTAAGACCAAAGAAAGAAAATAAAATGATTGTTATACATCACATACCTGAGTGGCACTCCAGAACGGGAACTTTTTCCCCACATAACTGGGGCCACAGCAGTCCCTGTCCACATACACCACCTCGGGGGGGTTCACGCTGCCTTCCCTGCACCTCCTCTGGATCCCCTCGAACATGGCGTCAAGTCCGGCTCCCTCTCCGGTGGTGATGACGGAGATGAGAACCTGGCTGTGCTTATGTCCCACGTTGGTGGCCGACACGGCAGTGTCGGATGCAGCCCCCTGGAGCTTCCTCACTATACCTTCTTGGTCGAGTCTACACTATCTTCAAGATGCGGCCGTAGACTGAATTGATGCCAGTATTTTTACATTTCCAATGTCTTCGTGCGAAATAAAATTACAAAAATTTAAAAGACTCCAAAAAATTCTAATGGTTCATCGATCGGCGCGGTTAAAAAAAATCACGTGCGGGCGGAACAAATAGGGTATATTCGATTAAGCGACACGGATTACACGAGTCACTAGAGTTGTAAATAAAACAACCTATCTTCGACACGGGTGATCAACCCGTGTTACACGAGTATACTCCTCAGTTTACCTGGAGTAACAGGTGAAAGAAGTTTTATTTAGATCACTAGAGTTCAATCAATGAGCATGCGCATATTTAACACTAGTGCCACACGGGTTGTCTTAATCGAATACACTCATTGAGACAGCGGGGCTTTGAGCACGTGGAGTCTTCAGGGTTTATGTATATTATCACCCAAACCACTCGATTGATTACATCATGAAACCAAAAAATTAGACAGTTATTCCTTAAGTAAAGACGAATAACGACCCCCATAGAAAAATTACCTCCTAGAAAAATAGTCATTTTTTTGTGAAAGAAGAACCCTTTTTCTACATGAAAAAACTATAGAAATGACCCCCATACTAACAGAGTGATACAAAGTTTATTTTATTACATGTAATTAAAAAAAAGGGGTAATCGTTTTTCTGACATCACAAGCACAGGAAGAACAAGCAGTGTAAATGTAATATAAAAGCATTTCAGGTGTTTGATTTTTGATGTATTTTACTTATTTGGATATTTTCATAGAGAAAGACATTGAAGGTAAACTAATAAAAAAAATATGAAAAACGTGATGGATTCAACTATTCTATCATTCTTTCCTTAGTTATTATTGTCACCTGCATATAGAGATCGTGTCTCCTATGAAGTTGATTCGATTTGTGAGAGCCTGTTCTACTGATTTCTAAAACGAGTTCTAAAATAAGTTGATAATACAAGGATACAAAATGTGTCGTTTTATCAAATTTTATGGCCGATACAATGACCCTTTTCGGCCACAGGCGCTTGACGTTTTTAACCTTTCTTTTTCATAAATAAAAATATCCCCTTAACTATAATTCTATCGACCATTGTGTCGACTATAAAATTTGACAAAAGGACACTTTTTTCCGTTTGCCCAATCATTCTCCAGAGCAACAATGGGTGTGACGGAAGACAGGGGATACTTACTCCCCGATGGCTTCTGATCCCATTGATAGATTCTGATAGGTTTGTGTTTGTTCTTCTCCAGGCACGTAGCCAGGCGTACATTTGTACGCAAGACAATCACATAATTTTTTTGAAAGGAGAGAGACAGGCCTAATTTCTATGTGCATGCTTGTAAGTTCTTAAAAAGCATACGCATCATTTTGCAATAAATAAATTATAAAAAATAAATGATTAAATTAATAAAAAATAAACAGAATCAGTTTTTTTATCATACGATAGTTCTTCTTTGAGATCATTAGATTTTTCCGGAGTCTGGCTGATTTTTTTTTTTAATGAATCGCATTATCACACCAACTATTTAACCATATGTATTTTGTCTCTTTGAAAGTCTAAACTGTATTAGTTGGTTCGTCACACAACAATATTGGATATACCCTCTCTCATTTTTGAGCGTTTTGTAATTGTCCGCATTTTGTACAGAAACAGAACAAACCTAGAATATGGCTGCGAAACAAACTTATTTAAAAGTGTATACATGGTGTAAGAAAAATGCGATCAGGAGGGTCGAATATGCACATTGAAACTGTCAAAAAATTCACTAGCTGCGGGAGCTTCTTTCTTGGGGGGCCCCATGCACCAGGGCTTCGCAATGGACCGATTGGGGCCTTAAGGCTGCCCCAAAACCCCCTGCCTACTCGGCGTCCACTTCAAATGTACCCTGTCTACGCCTTTAAATGTAAAATGTTCCGAGGGACATTTGAGCTTGATTACTGGGGGTTGCCTCAAGAAAATATGGTGCAGAGGGGCCGGTAACACAATATGTTTGATTTAACTAAAATACTATAATATACAACAAGGAAAAGTTAATAATTTATGTAGAGTTCATTTTAAATGTGTTATCTCCAGATATCAGACAAGGGGACTTAATTGCCCCTTCTGTCTCAGGTATATATATCTGAAGACGCATGAGTTAAAAGGTGCTCTATATAGATATGGGTTTTTCTTATACAAAGCTCCTCAACCTTACTTCTAAGACGCTACAAAATAATAACTGGTAGTATTCCTGATATGTTTTGTATTTTAGACTCCCCGGGAATGGTCAAGCATGCTTCTAAGACGCTACAAAATTATAACTGGTAGTACTCCTGTACTATATTCCACAATAGCACAACTCACAATAATAATTAACATGATAAATAATAGGAGGTATATTTATTCCCGTGTTATAACAAGTTGGCAAAATATTATACTAATGTACATACACCTATGAAGATGACAGACGGAATGTAATACCAAACACAGACGCCTGAAGTGTGGATTGATAGCCCCATCCCCCATAAATAAAAAAATGTGAGCTTATTGATATAATCTCTAAATATATTAAATCCCCCCTCAATCTCATCCATATGCCGTTCCTTACAAGAATTAAGCATTTTCTTACGTTTAGAGATTGGCCATTTATGGTATTTAATAAAAAAAAAAAATTAATTTATATTACACCCTACAGGGCCAATCTCTCTAAAAGTAAGAAAAAAATTAATCTGCTTGCATAGAACGACATATAAATATTGTAGACGGTGAAATTGCATATTTTTTTTAAATAAATGTAATGCTTATTAGATATCTTTCTTTAGGTGGGGGGGGGGGGGGTGTATCCACACTTCAGGTGCCTTTGAATTCAACAAGTTGCATGTTGTTATGAAACATGCAACATGATTCAAGGTGTTACAGTTTATCCATGCACATGTAAAACTGCTAAGATACTGGTAGTGACAATTATCTCAATGAAGAAAAACATGTACTTGCAAAATTAAGAAAAAGGATAAATAATTCATGGATATACATGTAATTATAATAAGTGCAAATTATAGCATTTGTAAACTTTGTTGTTATCCCTTCGCAACTTTGTGTTGGTATGTGGATTGGTAATTCTATGCGAAAGGAAAGTCGCGGTGCATCGAAATCAATGTCTTAATCTATTATAATAGATGTGCTCTTTGCAAAAGGAAACTATACCTAGCGATTCACGATAATGCAACTTAACTGTAATGTGAAAAAAATATTGAAATTTAGACTGTCATGAATACGTATTTGTAAGAAAAATCAATTGTGGTTTCTTAAATAAGCTTGTGTGCAATCTCTTAAAAATAGATAGCAACTGTATGTTTCTTAGTCAAGCACTTCGAAGTGAAAGTTGCGGGCCCTTCGGATGAGACCCTAAAAACCGAAGCCCTGTGCCATGGTAGGCGTTGGCACTATAAAGAACCCTCACTACTCAATGGTCCTGAGTGACGTGTAAAGGTTTTAATTTGAAGCCATTCACTGGTATGTGGAGACTTCTCTCCATGACTGATCTTCTCCGATTTTTCGCGGAGATTATAAGGTGTATTGTAATATCATATGCTTGTAATAACGTCATTATCCGTTCGATATATATATGCTGTATAACATCATCTGGAAAATAAGGTTCGACAAATTCAAGTTAACACTGCCTCCTGTTACCAGAAGATGAACATTTTATACAAAGCAAAAGACACAGATCACTGAAATCTTTTATGTAAACTCCGCTTGGCACATATCAAACAGTTTGCTGTGGTATTTTCATCCATCAGGTGTTTTTTGATTCGTATTCACCACGTCAGAATACTTTGGCGGGACCGGACTCACCGGAACACTTTGTTGCGTCTGCGTGGCCTCGTAGTAACTAGGAGGCTTGTCCACAGGTTCTTGTGAATTTTCCATAATTACTTGACCTATCACCTTCAACAAAAATTGGTTCTTTTAAGCCTCAAGAAAGGAAACAGTAAATTTGTCACAAACTAGATGTACATGTACAGTGAGCTACGAACTTACTGAATGATACCCCCTCCCATATGATAACAATGGCAGTCAAAATTTGCTCTGGGAGACCCGAAAAAAGTGTCAGATCAGAAAGTAAAATAAGGGGTGTACAACGACATTATTTTACAAAGAATTTGTGAGTGTGAAAGTATAGTTAAATTTTATTCAGTGGTATAGGAGAAATTGCGGATAAGAGATGGATACCCTTCAATATTATAGAAAGAATGGCAGTGTCCCTGTTTTGCTATGGGAAACCCGAAATATGTGTAAGATCAAAAAGTAAAATATTAGGTGCACAATGGCAATATGTAATAAAGATTCTGTGAAAGTCTAAATTTAATTCAATGGTAAAAGAGGAGTTGTGGATAAGAGATATCCCAAAGCGTAACAGACGGACGGGCGGATGTACAGACAGACGGACGGACATCCCGATCACTATAATATAATTAAATATATGCTTACTGATAATTTGAGCTGAAATCTGTGTTTGATATAGAGAGATATTAGGAGAGGGGATAGAGAGAGAGAGAGAGAGTGGGCACAGAGAAGAGAGGTGCAGAGAGTGGGAGGTAGGAGAGAGGGAGCAATGAGAAAGAGTTGGAGTGGAGAGAGAGAGAGAGAGAGAGGAAATGGAAGATATGAACTGGAGAGAGTGCGGAGTGAAGAGAGTGTGGTAGAGAGGTATTGATAGTGCGAGAGGAGAGAGAGTGGGCATCTCTTTACTACCACGCATCTTTATTATAAACTCAGTATGCGGGGAATGGGGACATTTTCAATTATGTAGCAATCCATTTTCCCAAGTCAGGAGTTTCTGATCCGCTCCGCTCCGAATAGGCTAAGTTTGACGGGGTTTACTGTTACTCCATCTAGTGAGATTACACATTTTGAACTCTACTGACCTCTGTTTTTAGCCAATCAGAGTAAACGAATTCTACAGAGAATTCGAGATAATATTGATAGTGGTTAAATATTCAATATCACTCAACTAAAAAGCTGAGACAAACCTATAACTGGGCTATTTAATGATAAAGACGTTATCATTAGGACTAAAACTGGCGTGTTTTTTCTGTTTACGATTAAGTTTCAGTTTAAATAAAACAATGATTTTGATTGGTTCATGCAAAGTTGCATGAGGCCAATCATAGAACGCATTTCTAACCCCGTCAAACTTAGCCTATTCTTTCAAGGGTTTATGTGGAGCGGAGCGGATCAGAAACTCTTGACTTGGGAAGATGGTAGCAATCATTACAATAATGTACATTTCAGTTGAATACAATTCCAGGATCTCCAAGTGCAAGTGCGGGATTATCTCTCTCCACTCTTGCTATTTCTCCCTCCATTTTCCACTATTTCCTAATTACATCTCCTCTGTATCCCCACTCTGCATCTAACTAAGCATCTAACTAACCCCCACTGTGACCCTACCCCTCTTTTCCCCTATCTCCCCACTCCCTCTTACACACAGTCTGTCTCCTCCTCTCTCGCTCACTCTCTCTCTCCCCACTACATGTGCATCTCTCTCCCCACTCTCACTCCCCTCCACTCTTTCTCCCTCACACCCAACTCTCCTCTCTTTCTACACTTTTATCCCCACTCTCTCTCTACTCTCTCTCCCTCTCTCTCTCACTCCACACACTCTCTTTTTTCTATCTCCCCACTATCTCACTCTCTCTTTCTTTATTTTTTTTTTTTGTTCTTTTGACTCAGTTACTTAAAGATCTGTGAAATAAACTATATACATTGTATATGCATAAAAATTCGATTTTTCAAAGTTTTTAAAAATAAAGATAATGGAATAAATACTTATTCTAATTTAGATAGCAAAGTTTCATCGTTATAAAAACTTAATTTATAAAACGTTAATTCTTGATCTTTTTTCTTTAAAACTGGAATTGGCAGAATTGTTTACTTTTGCAAAAAATGAACGTCATTTAAAATCATAAGGTCGATAACTTCAAACAACAAAAAATATTGCTACCCAATTCACAATTTGATCATTGCATTCATTTTAATGCTTGCAGATTTAATTTTATATGCTTGGAGAACAATATATTTTATATGTTTACTAATTTGCAAGGAACATATGTAAGCTTGAATTCGATTCCTGGCAGTTGTATATTATTTGCGGTACCGTTATAAATAGTAACATGTGCGGCTTTCATAATTTTTGTCCTGTTTAGGCATTGTATCGTGGCGTTGAATGATAACCAAAAGGCACTTGCATAATGACTCCCTTTTTCTACGCTTTACCCGTTATTTCATATTTTCTTATTGCAAATAAATGTTCGCTTTTGGTGTTTTGTTCAAATCTTTACTTGTTGCATGGTTCTACTCCACTAACCATGGTTTTCCACTAGCGTTTTTTGAATGGACAGTGTTTAATGATTAACCGTTGAGCCATCAGCGTAATTTGAGTAAATGTTCACCTTATTACAGGCCCTGTCCAGCCTGGTCATGCTTCAGGGTACAAGTAAATTAAAATCATTCAATCAAGCAATAGAACCATTCAAGCAAAAAAGAGAGTCAAACAATTGCGGGCTTAAAAATCTGTTACAGTTGTAGTGCATAGGCACCCTCTTCAAGCTACAAAACACAACAGAACATTTTATTTCTAAGCTACATGTATGTAACGTAATAGCATCGTCTCAAGCCACGGTCTGGAGTCCACATATATAGCTCTCTCCTATACGGAGAGGAGCGTACATTTTGGCCGTGGTTTGCGACGATGCGTAATAGAGAGATGTATGTAACGTGATAGAGATAAGTTCAATATTATAAACCAAATTAAGCACAATGAGGAAATCATACAGAAAATCAAATGATCGAAAAAAGTCAATAACATATGTATAAGAGCACCACTAGTCCCTCTTCATAAAAAAATGACATTTATTTATACATGTATTTGTTACATTGATTAAGATATTCTCACTATATAACTCTAAATAGACGAAGAGTTGAAACTAGTAATTTATTACACCTGAAAAAATGACCGTCAATACATACCGGTATGTATTTTTATAACCAGCCCCCCCCCCCCCCCGTGTCCGTCCATCTTTCTGTACTGTCTGTCTGTCTGTTCCACTTTGACGTACCAATCTCTTATCCGCAACTCCTCCTATACCACTGAATGAAATTCAATATAATTAATAATGAGACTTTCACAGAATCTTTGTTAGTGCCACTGTGCACCTCCTTTTTGTGTTCGGACATATATTTCGAGTTTCTCAAAGCGAAACATTGACCTGTCCTTCATCCTATAACATCGAAGGGTACCCATCTCTTATCCGTAACTCCTCCTTTACCACTGAGTAAAATTTAATGATACTTTCACAGATTCATACAATGCCATGCCTTTATGCCCCCCCCCCCCCCCGAGCAAAATATGGAATTTGCCATTATTATCGTATTACTATACACATGTAGGAGGTGGGGGTATCATTTAGTGAGCTCACTGCTCACCGTACTTCAAGTTTAAATTGTGTTTCTTTTATTAGCTATGCATATTTTTACAAACTTTTATCTTTGTGTTTTGTTAAAAACGGTTGAAGAACTATGGGATCTCATATTAATCTATATATTGTGTATATACTATAAAAGTACATACTGAGTATAAATATTAAAAATTACTGGACTTGTATATCTTTTAAGATTAAAGCAGATCTATTTTACCCACCGATGGTCGAATTTGCCTTACAGTCCGCTTGGCAAATCCAAAAATGACAAGAAATATGAAAACTTGCAACATGAATATTCCAAGAATTACAAACAATGGAGCCAAATCAAAACTCGGGTCTTCGTCTTCTTCCTCAGCTGTCAAAAAAAGGAAACAGATGATCAACAACAATCTATTAATTTTCAGAATGCTTTAAAGACAATGTTTGAAAAAAAAGTTTGATGATGCAAAAAAATTCGATGATACAAAAAACAAAGCAGATTCAGGATTTCAATTTGTGTGTGCTGTGTATTAGGGACATTAGGGAGGGTGTGTATGTAAAGTGGTGGGCGGGGGGGGGGGGTAGGGATTGGATGGGAGGTATAAGAATCTACAAGGACGTATATGTTGAAAGTGAAATATGTGTTTATTAATATTAAAACGCATTATTTTATGTACATGTATACATTTTCAAGAATACGCATTAGTTTATACTTTTAAGTGACACTGATAGTACAATAAGAAAATGTGCTTTTCTGGGGTTTAAAATGGACATAATTCTTGCAGTGGTGAGCAATTATAATACATGTACTTAATTCAAGCACACTAAAAAGTTGTTTCAAATTTTATTTCGTGGTGATAAATTTTATTTTCTTTCCACGAGTTTTTGTTCAGGGGCAACTCTTGTTCACGTTCCATAACGTAAAAGTAAAAGACAAGAAATGTAACTAATACCTCTGTGCGTTTTTGGCTTGGCTTCCAGCCTCATTTTGAGCCGAGCTGCTGTTCTCTGTCGAACAAACGACTCCATCTTGATTCCGACAGACAAATTATCTGTTTCTTCTGAACACCAAGTGATTGTTTTGTTGTCCCTGCATCTTAAAGTCTATATACAAGGAGAAATTATAAAGAAAAGTAGATAATATGGGGATGGATCTAGTTAAAGGGATGCTTTAAGTTAAAAGAGACAAGAAACCAAAAGCAAATCCAGGAAATTTTCGGAAGGGGGGGGGTCTATATATATACCTTCTAAAATGCAAACTTTAAAATTACATGTAGTTAAAAAAGTAAGGGGAAAATAAGCATCTAAAAGACCATTATTCCTTTATGATTTGTTGGTTGGATTTAATTTTGAATTGAACGTTTGAATTTAAATTCGGTTATGGCCTCTACCAAACCAGTTGTGAAGGAGAAATTTCAGCAGTACTGTGCAATGCTATATATACCAAAATCAGCAACATTAAACTTACATGTACACCTCTTAACTTTATATATACAACTATTCCCCGAAATTAAATAAAGTCCAGACTTTTTGACATCATTGACAGCTGGTTTCCAATAAAAATGGTACTCGTCATTGCTCAGAATTATGCATTTTTGGTGTTGTTCGCTTTCAGCTCAGGTGAGCTAAAAAGTTGCTTGAGTTTCTGATTGACAATATCTATGTGTTTTTTGTTTGTTTGTTTTTGGAGAGCAGGTCCTCCAGTCTATTGGAATTTCCGTGGGTACCCATTATTTTATCCCGTTATTAGCAGCTTATTTTTGTATTTATATGAAGCAGATTTTTTTTTCAAAATATTATACTTAAAAAGAAGAAAACACTTGATGTTGCCTTCAGCTCGACATTTTGATATATAGACAACGAAATGTCAATTAACGATGCTTGTTTCCATTCTTATGTCGAAACAATATACTCCGGAAAGGTTGAAATAAAAGATGACACAGAGTCTGACACATCTTTTTCATATTTGGATAATTTACTAGAAAAAGACGATAGTTGTTATTTCAATAATAAATTTTTAGGATAAAAGTGATGACTTAAGATGTTCAATCGTCAAATTCCCCAGCTTTCTTATGCAGCAATATATCACATTTATCACATTATACGGGGTTTATATCTCGCAGTGGATTCGATACGCAAGAGCATGCTTTACGTATGAACAGCTTCTAAAACGAGGTGCAAGTTATTGGCAAAAAAGTAATGAAACAAGAATTTCAGCAGTCTCGTGTAAAGTCATCCTTTCGTTAGTTACAGTGTATATGGTCGATACATTGTCAGCAAATACAGTCTATCGTTAAATCAAATGCTAGATGTATGACGTTTTTCTTACTCTTTGTTTAGCCATTGAATTGTCGACGGATTTTTCTGTCATTTCCCTGTCATGACAAGAAGCACACGGTGGGTGTGACCGATCGGCATTGGATGCTCACTACTCCATGGCACCTGATCAGACCTTTGATCTTTTAGAGATCCGTGTTTGCTCTAATCAATTTTAAGTATACAATGGACCTTCAGATAACTAGTGATTCAGGTATCCGGACACTTTACATATCCGGATAATTTGACTGGGAACCAGAGCGTCCGGATAAATGAGGCTCCACTGTGTGTAATGTTTAATGGACTTTTAAATTTGAATGCTGTTCTTTATCTCCATATATTTCAACATTATGGTATATGATCTACTTTTATTCAGCACCATACCTGAGGCTGCATGCAACTTATCAAGGGTTTTCTGTTCGTGAAATGAAGATTTTGGAGATTTCCCCCAAATACCATTGTAAAAAGTGTTCCTTTATTCTGGTCACACATTATCCCAGAGATAATGATTTTAATAAAGAGTCTGTAATACAAAAATGCTTGCATATAATGATGTTTTTTTAGAGCAGTGGTTAGAGCGACTGCTCTAGAGTCGCGAAGTAAGGAATCGATCCTTAGGTCGCGGTTAGAATCCCAATGTGGGATGTGGAGACCGGTCCTTCGGATGAGACCGTATAAACCGAGGCCCCGTGTCGCAGTAGATGCTGGCACGAAAAAGATCCCTCACTACTCAATGCATGGCTCTGGGTACCAAGTATAGGACAAAATTTGCAGGCCTCCACCAGAAAGTGGTGGCTTCTCCATTTGAGTGAAAAATTCACGAGAGGGACAAAATAAATCAATAAATTAATCTTCTTGGAAAAAGATTTTTAAAGATTTTCTGTATGTCTTGTATATATTCCAGTTAAGTTGAAAGTAAATACTGAAAAAGATTTATAACGATAAGTCCCCATATATTCTCGAATTATTACTTTGATTAACTTAATTTTTTCGGCTCTGGCGAGCTTCAAGTCTTGTATAGTCTGACCTGTAGTATTTGTCCGGTAAGATAGGATTTGTACTCTATAAATATTTCACAGTATGGATCATCATAATAAACAGGCGTCAGACACAGCTGTAATGCATTTCCATTGGCTGCATCTTGTCCAAGAAAAAAGATCTCATCACAAAGAATTGGTTCCCCGTCGTACTGGATATACACGACAGAAGAGACGTCCAATCGCTGGTGTCCCAAGTAGCATTTGAACCCGAATATGTCTACAATATCAAATAGCATGGATGTGTTGTTTTATTTGAACAAGTAACAATTCAGAAGCTTATGTTATTTCGTAAAACCCCCTCCTTCCACAAACAATTATGATCCGACGGTATATGATATATTTTTATTTTACATGTACATTGTACATATATAACCCCCATCCCTATTCTGATTTTTGTTCCCCGCTAGTAGTATAAGGGGTCTGGATGGGTGGGTCAACTGAGTGCACTTTTGGGGCTGAGGGGATAGGTGGGTCAACAGAGTGCACTTTTTGGGGGGATAGGTGGGTCAACTGAGTGCAGCTCCTGGGGGGGGGGGGATAGGTGGGTCAAGGGAGTGCAGATTAGGGGGTTCTAAGGATAGCCGGGTCAATTCAGTACATATGTTGCATCATCT